AGTCATAAATAAGTTAACATTGGTGAGGGACAAGTATACCAACTGCACACAATGCAGATATTATCCATGTATTATTTTTGTATTTGACTTAGAACAGAGAAATCCTAGATTTTTTGAAAAATTATTTTCTCTCTAAAAATACCTTTGAAATTAGACTATTAATCCTTTATAAAGATTTTTCTCTCTCAACTTTTCCTACCCTGCCCTAAAAATCCAAAGTTACCTCAGGTTGCCTCAGTATTCAGCTGTGTGCAAATAATATTTAAAGTGTGTAATATATGTTAGGCTCTAAAACCAAATTTTATTGTAATTTTATAGTAATATATGTGTATCTTGGATTGTAAGACATATGGGGTAAGGCTGATCCTTATCTTCTCTTATCCTGGCACACAACAACTTCATACTCATGCAATTGCAGCAGTTTACACAATCTAGTCAAGTACCAAGACAGGACACCATGCTTTTTTTCATTTAGTTAACTGTGTGCTTTCGGCTCTCTGAGCTTGAAAGGAAACTTTCTTCTCCAATTATTTTAATCTCACAGTAGCCTAGGGAATAATGGAGAACAAAAGGAAAATTACTCCATATATATAACAACTGTCAAATCTGCTTGCTATAGTCGGCATTATTACATTGTTAATGTAATCATCATCATATTTTTAATTTAACAATTACTATATTATTACAGAAGACTATTATTCTAATATAATGAGAGGAACTAGCTCCCTGTGGTCAGGAGGCATTGCTGTGAGGTATGTGAGGCCAGGATAAAGGTGCAGAACCAAGTACTTATTTCTTATATCTGTCTATGAGAAACTGCTATTACTAATACCATCAGATCTGCACTACATTTAAACCTTCCTTTATTGATAGCCTGGCATCAGGAGGCATGGACAGTGAACTTAGACTCCTCTCACCTCATTTTCTTGCCTTTTAATTCCTCTATTTTAAAGGTACCCTATTCCACAAAAATCTCTCTTCATGTAAGATGTAACTATTCTGGATCAAGGATACAGTGGGGAGTTTTGGAGGAGAAACACCTGCCAAGAACTGTGAAAGATCTGAAATTTTACTGCACTTTCAGTCTAACAAGTTAGACTACTGTGGTTTCATGGATATTGGCCAAAGACTTAAGACTCTTGGTTCAAAGACCAGGGACCATTTAATACTCACATAATAGCAGGAGTCAGAGAGTCTGTATTTGTGGTAAACCTGTTTCCACAGGGCCATGCACAAAGGGGTAGATGATAGCTGCTCATGTAGTGGGTTGCATTACACAGACGAGCCCTGGGCTTAGAGAACTCAAATTTTTTTTTTATACTGGAGCATAAGCTTTGCTCTGGGGGAAGATGTTCACTATAGAAACTTATTTTTAAAAAGCTAGTACAAAAAAAGGAAAGTCAGCCCCCCTGCTCATAAGATGTGTAGAAACATAAGGGAACCAAGAAAAATGGTCTCCCAGCAATATTTACCTTCATTCTTCTAGGTGCCTTACTAAAATTTAATTTCTAGGGAATCACAGCTATCATTTGAGCACTTTAGTGTTTGACCTTGGAAATAGCAGTAGGAACAGGGTAGAAAATAAGAGAAGGTAGCAATAATTACTGGAAAATTTATTAGCCATTTTTTCCAAGGGTAAATGTAAATATCTTTGTAAAATGCAAATATCTTTGGCGAAATAAGCCATTATAACAGCTATATTATTAGTTTATGAAAGACCGATTATGGACATTTAATACTAGTGTTCTGTATTTGTTATACATTTTACATTTTATACATTTATCCTATCTATACAACAACCCTGCATAACAGGCAAGTATGTACCTATTATGCCATTTTATAGTTGAGCCACATTCTGTGTCTCTGAGGCACAGAAAGGTTAAGTAACTTATTCAAGGCCAAATAGACTATATTTGAGTCATTCAACTATATAGTAACATAGTTACTACTATAGGAACATCTTTTGTCTCAGAATTATAAATACACATATTGGCCAACCCCTCATACATAAACATATAAATATAAAAATATACATAATAGGTAGAATTGAGTGTTGGATAAACTTTTGTGGGGTTTAGGAAGCAGACTGTATTATAATAGCACTGCTTCAGAGCAGAATCAAATTTTCAAAAGACAGACCCTCAAGTTGTTACCCTGGAGTATATTTTCTGATTAACAAGAATATAAATCAAGTTGCTTAAACTTTGCAACAACTTTAAAGATATTACCAATGTAAAAATTTGTTAGTTTTGTAAACTACTTCAAGCTCCTCCAATTAAAGATGCTTCCTTAGTGATGTAGCATCAATTAATCTGCCAAATTGAAATAGTCTATAAATGAGGAGACTAATTCTATTTATCATTTAAATATAGAAAACAATTATAAAAATAAGTGTATTCAAATCATTTGGTGAATTTCTGTAAAAAAAAAAAAGATGATAAGACTCTTCAGGGGAGGAAGAGAGAATTTGTTTATCAGTTATGTTAGAAACAAAAGCCTATCACAAAGTGTCATAGCGTTGTTTCTTTTTTAAATCTATAACATAGCAGCACATTGCCAAAAAGGGTTAAAGACAACATGGTCCATGACTTCTTTCAGCTCTCAAGAGTGTGGCAAAATGTATTATTTGGCATAATCATGACACAGATCTGCATGTGTATGTCTTCAATAATTCATGTTGCAGCTTGTCTCACTGTGGGGACAGATGTCAGTGAAACCAGTGACAGCCGATCATGCTGATCCCATACATAATCACGTGTGGCTGATCCCACAGTGACACGGAGCCTTGACTATATGCCCACTAAGTTCTGTCGAAGCTAAGAAAATACCGTCCAGCAAGTTTGAGTTTAGTTATTCATTTTGTAACTACATGAAGTGTACATATTTATGTGTATGTATGTATAAAAACATCCAACTTCCTTACTATTTCCTTAGGATTTAGAAATCTTTATAATTTGAACTGGTTATAGGTGGAAATATTCCTTACCTTTGAATGTCATATTTATTAGGTCATTAAAAATATACATGGAAAATACTGCTGACAAAATCAGTTATTTATCACTATTGTCAAAACGTATGCGCCTCCTCCAGGTGATTTATAGTATTACCAATTTTGATTAATCTTTCATCTTTAATTCATATATAGTAATATGTACAAATGTTACATATTCCAAAGATTAAACAAGCTATTTTGATCTTGACATATCTTTGTTTCTCATAATGACCAGTATTTTTTTTAACATTAGGCATTAATCAAAAAATGATCTTATCCCAGATACTTTGAAAGGAGTACAAATGTGTATCTGTCAGTAAGTGTCTATGAACATTAGTAAGAATATAGACTATAGAACACGGAATGTAAAAAATACCTCCTGCCCTAATCCTTATGCATAAAGAAATACAGAGCTAACCATTCCAAATCTTTTTAAAAGCCAAAGTATTGTACAGTATTTTTAAACACCACGATGAGCTCCATTTATTCATTTATTGAATGAATTAGAAATATCAAGCTCTATTTATAACCTGCAGTACATCTGATTATAGCAAACACCATGTGTATGTTTGTGTGTTTGTATAAGTGTGTGTATGTGTATAAACACATGTACATATACATATATGTATGCAATGTGTATTTATTTGTGTATGCATATATGTTGTATTTTTAAATATTCAGCAGAACAAAGCATTGACATTTATATTTTCTTTAGTAATATGTTATTTTGCAATTTTTTATTTTTTCTTAGACATGAGGCATTTTGATTAGCTTTTGAGTCATTTCATTTTTCTTGATGATTTTTGTTTTGCAGAGGATGTGCAAAACATTTATTCCTAATGATTCTTTTAATCTGTTTTCTCCTCTCTAAGATCAGTACATTTAGGCAAAAGGCATTGATTTTCATTATTCCAGGATTAGACTGCTTTTGAAATACTCTCTATGTCAGGGAATCTCACTGATGCTACCAGGCAAACTGTTGCCCAACACTGGGTACCATTTTTCTTTGGAGGTGCAGTTACATAAACATTTCTAATCACAGCTTTGTAAAGAGACACGGTATAATAATTCATGACTTTTAGGTAATATGTCATATGAATCTTAACATATGGCATTGCACTCTACAATGGCAATCTTGGCTTCAAAAGGGACCTGGAAAACATCCAGTGAGATGAGAATAAGCCAAACTTGAAAGAAAACCATATCGATGTTAATCCAGGTTTGCACCTTTCATTCAGACTCGGAACTCTCTAGCAGATGGCTCAGTGTTGAAGCACTAATGTTAGCGAAATGTCAAAACTATTTTGCTAGACTCCCCAATTGTTCATACAGACTATTTTTCAAGTATTTGATATCAAAATAATATTAATAAATCGGAGCACTTGTGTCTCTGATCACAAGAGCAGGGTTTTAGTTTCAATTTCCAAAGACAACCTGGCTTTGCTCTTTTGGAATATAGCCAATTAGCTTTTACAAAGGACAATAAAATTTTAGAAAAATTTCCCCCCATTCTTTGGTCAACAAAGACTCACTCAAAAAAGACAAAGGAATGCAGGACCTTTTGGCAGACAGCGTTGTTAGTAACAATTTAATCATCCAAACAAATGTTATGAGATAGAGAATCTAAATCAAAGTTTCTTATTCTGAGATTCATGAGCACAGAGAAAAAAATTACATGGGCTTCAGAGAGTCCAAAATCCATTTGAGTCTGGAGGCAAACGTTTGTGGGTGCGCATGTGCATGCTGTTCTGTATACATACAGATATACACTGAATATACAAGGTGAATGAGTGAATGAATGAACGAATAAGACCCTCATATGAGGATGTAGCAGTGGTTTCAGCATGTCACGGAAAGTCAGAATTACATGTGCAAAACAAGAGTGAATATATCTGCATCTAGACAAAAGCATTTTTAAGCATTAATTGGTCCTCTAATATCTATTAACATCTAACCTGTCTCTAAGTATTTTTTCTTCTACTATTCAAATATATCTCCTAGAAGAAAGATGGCGGTGACGGGATGGTTGGAGAGTCTGCGGACGGCCGAGAAGACTGCGCTGCTGCAAGACGGGAGAAGGAAGGTGCACTATTTGTTCCCAGACGGCAAGGAAATGGCTGAAGAATATGACGAGAGGACAAGTGAACTACTTGTGAGAAAGTGGCGTGTGAAAAGTGCCCTGGGAGCCATGGGCCAGTGGCAGCTTGAAGTAGGAGAGCCAGCGTCCCTAGGACCAGGGAACCTGGGGCCTGAACTCATCAAGGAAAGCAATGCCAATCCTATCTTCATGCGCAAGGACACCAAGATGAGTTTCCAGTGGCGGATTCGAAACCTCCCCTACCCTAAGGGTGTCTATAGTGTCTGCGTGGACCAGAAGGAGTGCTGCATCATTGTCAGAACAAGCAACAAGAAGTACTACAAGAAGTTCTCCATTCCTGACCTAGATAGACACCAGCTACCTCTGGATGACACCTCACTGAGCTTTGCCCACGCCAACTGCACCCTGATCATCTCTTACCAGAAGCCAAAGGAGGTTGTGGTGGCTGAGTCTGAGCTGCAGAAGGAACTAAAGAAGGTAAAGACAGCCCATGGCAACGATGGGGACTGCAAGACCCAGTAGTTAGCCCCTGAGCCTTACACCTCTAGCATGGCGGGTGCTGTGAGACTTCAAGGCCTGGCCCTTCTTGGCCACGGCAGCCTCCTCTTCTAGGAGCTATCAAGGGTCTGTAAGAACTGGGCCGTGGGGCATTCCCAGCCAGTGAGTCATGGTCTTATTTTGTGAGTAAAGTCATTGTGAGCTACTTACTACACAGAAAAAAAAAAAAAAAAAAAAAAAAAAAAATGTGTATATATATATATATATATATATATATATATATCTCCTAAAGTAGAAATTAAGAGCCCTGTTTTGCAGACAGTTAAACACTAATGTCTCAGAGGACTTATCTGGGGTCCCCAAATGGCCACTCCAGAGTTAGTCTTCCTGACTTAAAATTTCACATTTATTCCTTTAATGATTGTTTCTACCTCTGTATAGCCAGACTATAATCCCAACATCAAAAGACAGTTTGCCAAGTCTATGATAGCACAGAAAAGCATCCTCGTAGGAAACCACTTTCAAGGAATATTTTTTTGTTCCAGATTTTTTTATGTAACTCCAAAGGATATCAATGTTATTATCCTCAAGAGGTGTGTTTCTCTTTGCAAACTCCATATAGCAGCCATTATAGTATATCTGTCTATCAATGCTAACTGATAAAACAGCAGTGGGAATTTCCAACACATCTGTTCAGGTTTTGCCCATTAGCCCAACACAAAGCATGCAGGTGTACCACCCTGGGAGTCAGTTCATATCTGGACGGCTATTTATCCTGTTCTTCTATGACTATGTTTCCAGGAGTAAGGTCACTAATAGAAAGAGTCATGTGTAGCACCTAAGAGGCTAGGTCAAAGAAAAACTGAATAATGATTAGCAAAAATTAATCTGAGAAATTTAAGAGTTGAAAAGAGGTGTCATGTTCAAATTAGGTCTAGCCATTCAAGACTAATTCTGTACAATGAACCTGCACAAAGGTGTCATTTGTATGTCACTGCTGGGCTGACAGCACTGTTTCAATTACATTATTCTTACATAAGTGACTGTTTAGATATTTTCCTCATTTCCAAATTCGAATTTGCTTTTCTTACTGTATCTTTTAGGATTAACCATGGTTTTATTTTCATATTTGTTCATTATCAATTGCATCCCTGAAGACTGTCCATATTTCTTTAATGTTGTGACAGGAATTCTTTGCTGAAGCTAAAAAAAAAAAAACAAACAAGAATGAAACAAGCTAAGAGAATAACACTGTGTCCCATTTTTTCATTTAAAATATGTTGCAAAACAGCTTTCAGTTAAAAATTTTTTGACAGTGTATATTCAATTTTTCAACTAACAGATGCACGTACATAAAATTATATGATTGAAATTCAGTGTCAGGGGCTTTAGTCATTTAATTTGGGAAAACCCAAGGCATTGGTCCATAATATTGCTCTTGAAATATCCCTGTTTAATAATGATATGGTAGAATGTCTATGAAATGGTAATATGGATGTATTTATTAAATTTTAAAATGGTAGTTGATACGAAAATTTTAAAAAGAAAATTACCGTGATCTATTTTTTTTAATGAAAAGTGGTTTTATTTGTTTTATTGTAAGGAATAAAGTCACAAAAAGATTGAGTGAGCAATATATGAATACTATAAGAAGAAACCAAGTTGTCTTAGGATTTCTAGTTCAGAGTTCTTCATTCTAAAACCTCAATGATTGATAATGTGCTTATTAATTGAGAAATATTCAGACTATTAACAACTATTTAATGTTAAGAAAAGGAAGACACTGAGAAGTATTTATGAGGCTTTCTTCATGTTCTTATAAAGGTTTAGAGAAATACAGAGACTCAGTTGCCTTAATAAAAGCAATAGATAAGTGCTTTTAGCAAAGACAATCTGACAGGGAAGAACATTTGAAATTATGAAGTCTTGTTTGAAAGTGGTCTACAGCAGTCTTACTCAAAGTGCCAGTCTGGGAATGTAAATCAACTACATCAAAAGCACACTGTTTGGTTCAGCTACATTTTTTCTTTTCATTATAAGACACTCTCAATAAAGGATGCAATGTGTTGTTTTACATTCTGGGGCAAGCTCCCTTGTGCATGATGAACTAGTAACAAACTGTTTAGATACTGTCGCCAGTTGGCTAACCACTTTGTGTAGCATTTGTCTAAAGAAAGACAATTTAATGCACATCACTGTATTTCTTCGTAATCAAGACTTAAATATTACTTGTGAATAACAGTGTGACTTTAAGATAGAGAACGGATTTTTTTTCTAATCAGTTGTGTTTTTTCATCACAAATAACTGTAGGAGAGTTTTAGAAAAGTATACCACTCTTAAGGGAAAACTGCAAATACAAAAATAAAATTTAGTGAGTGAGCACAAAAGACCAAAAGTTCACATGTTAATTGTATTATCTTCAGTGATCTTCCCACAATTAACAGGCAGAGGGTAGTTGTGAAAGTTTACTTTCTTTTTATTGTGAATTAAACCATCCTATACCTAGGGTGACAAGTCAAGCTGCATTGGCCATTTTCCACTCAGGATTGAGGGGATTGAACTTGACACGCACCTGTCCGTATTAGCTTAGGCTTCTTGTTTATGTAACGGCAATACAGAGAATGGCAACTAAAGTATATTTGTCTACAGATAGGACCAAATAGATATCTAAAATATTTTCAAGATAGAGATACACTATGATAACTCTAGAAGGGAAATGCAGTCTTCCTGCAGGGAAACGTAGGGGATCCACTATTTTTACAATTTAGAAAGGTAATCCAGTGTACACCTAGGAATCCAAAGCTTTCTCACACTCTCTTGTGTTTTTAATAGCCAGAAATACAAGATACATCATTTATATAATAACTAAGATTATTACAAAAGAAAGCAATTTGGCAATAACAGTTCCCTTCAGCATAGAGCTGTAACTGGGCACCCAGAGTCAGATGCTTTAAGTCTTAGTTTCATCAACTGAATTCCAACACAGACTGGATGATCTTAGGTAAGTTACTGTCTTCTACCCAGTTAACCAATCTATAAAATGGAGTTGATCACAGGATTTATCTCCAGAGTAAGGATTATATAAAATGACTGCATAGAATTTAGCAAAACAGTGGTAAGCTCTCAAGATATGTCGCTATTGATATTTAATACGGTGATTCCACCTAACCCAGGAGGCTTGGTTTATAAAGGTGTCAGGGTTAACTAAGATTCCAGTTTCCTAAGTAGAGGTAGGCATTATTATTTTTAAGGATGCATTGATCTTAAAGAAATGTGTTTTTCCTAAAAATTCAACATGACCACCAACAAACATTATACACACATTATTTTTAAAGAAAAAATGAAAATATATTTTACCTTTAGCTTTTCGGCCTTTTGTTTGAGACACAGCTCTATCAGAAACAATGGCTTTGTTTAAAATATTTTATTCTAGGAAAGGTGGTTTTGAATATTCAATAGGGCTCCAGGCTAGTGATTTTGTGGTTAGGTATCTTGTCTTTCACGAAGCCCTTGACAAAGGTCACAAACAATTTGCTCATTCCTCTTATTAAAATAAAGATGGAAAGCATTGATGATAACTGTGCCCAGCAGCTAACTTCATCATCTGTAGTGGTTTCAACATATGCTTGTGAGATAATGAAAAATATAGCATTAAATACAGTGGCAGATTGAATCTTGTTTCAGGGTAAATATAGTAAGTCATTTTTTTCCCTCTTCATTTCCTCAGAACCTGTTTAGCATTAGACTGTTAATATCATTACTGATACATGACAAAAAGGTTCCATAATATACTGTATTTGAGACACCCTCCCCCCATAAAAAGGAGCAACAGAAAACTATGAACATTAATCCAGCATTCAAAATAATGAAGTGCTTCAAGCCAACCCTCTTCAAAAACCTTCCACTTACATAGTTTTGTAAGACAAACAGTTTTATAAATCTGACATGCTTTTCTGGTCCCATTTAATATTATGAAAACCTCATTTTTCAGAGTTAGAGTCAACATGAAAAGTTTTTTAATCTCCTATAGAATCTCTATGATATAATCTTTTCTGAAAAAGATGTCAATACTGGGGAAAAAACGAAGAATTATTTGTATCTTAATATTCAAGAATTAGGAAAATACACAAAATGATTTTGAGCAATCAACATTTTGTCATAGTAAGTGGTTGCCTGGGTAAATGGTAGCTATTTAAAGAATATATGTGTATATATATATATATATATATATATACATATATATATATATATGTATAAGTGTGTGTGTATACAGATTTTTATTAGATCTATACAGATTATGTTAATTGGAAAAGGAATATTCTTACAGTACCTTTCCTATTGAAGAGTATTGTCTGTTTCTCTAGTTATTAAAAGCATTTTGATGTCCCTCAGTAATACTTTTTAGTTTTCTTCATAAAGGTCATGCATATTTTTATTAAATTTGTTAAGTATTTATCATTATTCTTGCCATGGTGAGCAGGATCCCTTCATCCTATTGTTGTCAGGCACACGCAAAGTTTTCTGTAAATGTCTTCGGTTTTAGGAGCCAGGTGATCTTGGTCACATGTATAATAATTTTAAATTACCAATAATAAAAACATTTAACTATTAATTCCAAAACAAATCAGGTAAGTTAAGAATAATTGAATATGTGTTTGTATTAAGAACCCCATCTCAGGAAAATTTTCTACGTACATAGATAAAAAATTTTTAATCTCATAAAAATTAAAATTATTTCAAAATTAAATATTTATTTTATTAAGAAAGAAACTGAATTAGTTGTTGGTATTTTGTTGACATTGCACTTGGGTTGGTGACTCTAGTGAAATGTGGGTCTTACTGCTTCTGTGTCATGGTTAGTTTCTGTTTCCACCCCCATGTCCCTCACTACTAGCTGCTCAACATATTGCCTCTGTTAAGTTGATTTTATTATATTAGAGGTCAGTCCAAGACCTCCCCTGCGCTGTCGCTGTCGCCATTATATTCACCTTTCAGAAATGATGTAGGGAGAAACAGCTTCCCTCTACTGGCTCTTGTTTACAGAAGCAATAAATGGCTCAGCTGCAGCTATTACTTCAGGATGTAATTAAAACAGGGAATTGCAGATGCTGTGGTTTCTTTCTTTCTTTTTGATGCCTGATGATACAAGCAACTGCATGAAGCACCTATCTTTATTTTTCATTCTTTGACAAGGACTACAGAGAACCTGTACATGCAACAAGCATGGGT